ACATCAGGATAATTACCTGATGTGGAATAGACACAGATTCACCTGAAAGCCCAGAGTCCAGTCCACTGCAGCTGAGTCCAGGCAACCTGAGATCAGCTAGAACCCAGCTCACTGGTAGACCCAAGAAATAAAAAGCATGTATTGTCATCAGCACCTGATTTAGAGACTTACTGTTGCATGGGCTGGCTGACACATTACCAACAATTAAAGGAAAAAGTATAAGAGATAAACAAATTAGGAAGGAAAAACAATATTATATTTGTATAGATGGTGTCTTAATCACTTTCTCATTTCTGAGACACAGTATCAACACCTGCAGTTTAAAGGAGGGGAAGTTTATTTTTAGCTCACACTTTCAGAAGCTTCAGTTCATGTTCAACAAGTTAAACACAGGAAGGGCATGGTGGAAGGGCCTGGGCAGAGGAAAGCTGCTCATACCATGTTAGCCAGGAAGCAGAGAAGAAAATGATAGATCCTTCCAGGTCACATCCTCCAATGACCTACCTCTTCTGACCTGACCCCATCTCCTAACAACAAGTTAGGTATAAATTCCCATGATTCAATCACCTTCCAAAAGCCCCACCAATGAGCTCATGAGGCCTTTGGGGGAACGTTCTTGATTTAATCTGTAACTTACGGTATTAACATTATAAAATTATACTATGTACAATTGATTTTATAGCAATATATTTGAAAACTGGATAAAATATTAGAAGGCAATTTAGAATTACTTAAATTGGCCTAAGAAGTGTAAGAATGACTAATATATGATTGATTATAAAGTATAGAATTTTAAAATAATCAACCAATGGAATAGGTAATTCAGGGGACCATCTGAACTTCTCCCTGCTTCCTTTTTGTTAAGGCTTGTGTCTAGATGTCCTCCCAAAGTCTCAAGTGGTCATAGGTGGGGCTTTTCAGAGGTGGCTGGATTAGAGTGTGTGATCCTGGGATTGATTCATGGTGCAATGCTAGGATTAAGGATGTGAGTGCTACCTGCCTTAAGTAGCCTGGATAAGATGTAAGGGATAGAAAGAGCTCTGGTCATCCCTTGTTGCTTTGCTACCTTCTGCCACCATGAACTGTTTCTCTTCTGTGATACCACCCTGCCTTGGAGCCAGCTGATTATGGACTGAGACCTCTACAAACTGTGAGGCAAATAAACCTTTCCTCCCTTAATTTGGGGAGTTGAGTATTTCTCATTGTATTGTCTCAACAATGAGAAAAGTAACTAAGATATTATTTATCTATCGTCCATTTAAGCAAAACCATGGGATATTTAAGCTTCTGACTTATTTCACTTAATATTGTGTTTTCAAGTTGCATCCATTTACTTACAAATTCCTCAAGTTTATCTTTCTTTATGGCACAGTAGTACTCCATTGTGTATAAAAACCACATTTTCCTAATCCATTCATCTGTTGATGGACACACACGCTGTTTCCAAGACCTAGCTATTATAAATTGTGCTGCTATAAATATGGGTATGCATTAATCACTGTAATATGATGATTTTAACTTTTGGGAGAAGATATTAAGAAGGGGATAGCTGGGTCAAGTGGAAGTCTTATTTTTAATATACATGCTAATTTGTTTCATTTATACTACTAGTTTCTCCTAGTTCATTGAAAAGAAAGTTTTGAGCTAATATGTTTGTTTCTCCTTTGTAAGAATCTTTTTTTCCATTCTTTTACGGAGTAACTACTTTAAGACAACAAATACACAGTGTATTACTTATTATTCTCTTATTTTGCTATGAAATTTTGTTTTATTTTTTCATAAAATAAAAAAATTACAAAGAGAAAAACATTATCAACCATCCTCCACATCACTCCAAATGGTTTCGAGTTTTACCAAATCTTTAGAGAAGAAATAATTCCTTTCTCATATAAATGGCTTCTATACAAAACAAAGCCTTAACTAAAATCTTTAGCTAAATGTGTAAATAAGAATGGATAGCTGGGCATGGTGGTGCATGCCTGTAACCCCAGCACTTGGGAGGCTGAGGTGCTACATATGAGTTCAAGGCCAGTCTGGACTATATAACAAGACCCTGTCTCAAAAAAAAAAAAAAAAGAATAGATAAAGACAAACCAAAAGAAGGGCAGTAAATTATAACTGCAGATGCAAAAACTATAACTTAAAAGTAGCTATTAAAGTCCAACAATGCATTGATGATTAATAGCATAGTCTCTGGAATCTCACTACCTGCTTTCATTAGCCTATGAATTAGCTGCATGATCTTTGCCCATCACTTTAACCTCTATGTGTCTCAATACTATTCTTATTTATAATTGGGGAGAATAATAGTATCTATAGAATAGCATTAACAAGAGTCAGATGAGTTAATACAAGTATAGTCCCTGGTGTATAGTAACTGATGAGAATCATCAGATCAAGCAAGGTGTAGCCCATGGATGCAAGATAATCAATATCATAAATAAGTCCATGCAATTCGCTAATTCATAATAAGTTTTATTAAAAGTCTAAATTCAGGTATACACAAGTTTGAAGCTTGACACTCTATTCTTGAAACTAATATATAGTCTTAGATTCTTCATAATTTGTTCTTCCCAGACCTCTGAAATGCCAAAAACTCCTGGGACTGTTAAAACACAATACAGACATATAGCTTTGCACTCATGTTTTCTCACCAAGATCTTCAATTTCACATCTGATTTGTTGCCAGTGGGGGCATAAAAAGGCAGCTAGGTTGAAGCAGAAGGTGGGTAGCAGCCTGCTCACTCACTTTTTTGCAGGTGTAGAGAGCAGAGAGAATATGATTGCCAAAGGTGGGCAACACCTGCTTAAACCTAGAACACGAAGTGTTTTTTACTGTTGTAGTTTGGTTTGTTGAGGCAGGGTCTCCCTTTGTAGTTCAGGCTAGCCCTGAACTCACTATGTAGCACAGGCTGGGCTCAAACTCATGGTGATCCTCCTGTCTCAGCCTCCTGAGTGCTGGGATAATAGGCTTGCACCACCATGGCCAGCTCACAAGCAGCGTTTTCAATGGCAAAATACAAGAAATGTTCCCATGGCATATTAAGACCCTCATGTATTATTGAATTTTTTCAACAATGTAGAGTGGCTCCTGGGCCTTATAAAAAAGATAAACATTCCAGTATAGGAATTGTGAATACCATAAAGGAACAGCACATTTTCCATTGTTTGTACAGATAATCACATATTTATAAAACAGAAAATGCCCAATTATATTAGAAGTATTAGGGGATAAAATGAGACTCTAAAGATATAATTGGGTATTATAATATCGACAAAAAACAAAGCAAGTCTTCTCACAAACCACCAATAATTTTTTTCAATAATTAATTTGGGATTAACATAGCAAATAGAACCTGAAAATAAACCTAAAAAGAAATGAGAAAATGTCAATTTTCAGCAGCTTAGACTGAAAACAGGGAATATATATTTTTCCTTCTTGTTTTTTTTTTTGAGGGGTGCTCAATAGTTCATATACTGGGCCCTGAGAACATATGTCAGGGTAATAAGATTAAAAATTTGCATTCACAAAAAATGAGAAATAGAACCCTTCCTTCCCATCTTGTTTGGGGGGTTTGATCTAGAGCTTTCCTCTCCCAAGAAAAGAAATAACTCAGGTACTATCATGTTGGAAGGTATGTTGGAATGTGTGTTGGAATAATGTGTTGGAAGGTGTGAGGGTGGGAGGAGAGAGAGTTTGCTGGAAATGAGATGCATATGTGGCTCCCCTCCAAAGGGAGATGGTCCCATACCCATATAGCCCTTGGGCAAGAGGCATAGTCTCATTCCCTACAGACCTGGGGACTTCACCCTGACTCCCACTTCCAAACCATCTAGATGTCCAAGTGGGGCCTGGGGATGGAGACATGATACCACAAATGGACCACATGGCCTCAGACCCGGAGTTATCCTGCCAATGATGTCCATATGTTCTTCCAGATGTTTTTATAGCTCCCCTCCCCACTGTGTCCCCTGAAAGAGGAGATCAGAGTGCCCCTCCCACAAAACAAGGAAAACATCCTGAGATTGAATTTTCCTTTCTTCTGGCAAGTGGGGACTCAGAGCCAGAGGTAATTTGACTTATATAAATACAGAAATGTGATGTTTCTTGAAACAAAAGCAACGGAAATTCATGTTAACCCAGATGATTTATTACACTTAAATAATCTCTGCTCAGCTTGAGGGTTGAAGTGGTTAAGAGCATGAACTTCAGGTCAGAGTAGATGGATTTGAATCCATGCTCTGCCACTTGCTGTACATGATAATATTCAAGACATTTAACCTCCCTAAGCCTTAGTGTTCTCATGTAAAAAAATGGAGAAAACAATACTCATCCATGGCACAGTGAAAAGATTAAATGATGTTTATTAAGAAATATTCAAAGTGCTTGTCAAGGTGCTCAGCATACATCGTGTGCTCAAGGAACAGCTTCTTTGTAGTAGTAGTGGTAGTAATTTTGGTAGTCAGAATACTGTTAATATTTGTATAGCAACAAGTATCTGATCTCCATTTCAAAAATGCAGAAACAGGCAGAGAGAAAACAAAGATTCCCGAAAGTCACAAGGTAACTACCCCAAAACACAGCCTAATACCTGGCACCCAGCTGATTTTAATGAAATAGCTGAGTGAATGAATTAATGAGAGAACAGAGGCCATGGTATGGTTGGCAGTGCGAATGTCTCACTGAGGCCTGAAGTGGGGCAGTAATGTGTCCATTAGCAGGAAGTTACTTGGATTAAGTCTGGGATAGAAGGGGTTCTTCCCTACAGGCCTAGACTGAGGTCCCCCTCAACTTGGTACCCTGAAACCCAAAGTAGTGGATATTACCTGGCAATTACTAGAGTTGGGTTCCATCATCAGTGTGCTGGGCACCACCTGATTCCCTAACTTCATGGAGATCAGGTCATCCCCAGACACCCCATGTCCTTAGGGCTTCTCATTTGGAATTTTTTTTCTTTTTTTTTTTTTTTAGTACCAGGGATTGAACTTGGGAACTTGCGCTTTCAAGGAAGGCACCGGAACCACTGAGCTAAATCCCCAGCCCTCTCATTTGGAATTTTCCAGAAGTCTCCCCACTCTACCATTATGTTTAATGAGGACTGGTAAATCTTGATGGGACTGGGCAGAGAAAGACACTCTGTATGTAATTTTAGAGGGCCCTTCCTTTCTGGGACCTCACTGTTGCTATTTTTAAATGAAAAAACTGGACAAGATGAGGAAAAAGGAAGTCTCCATCTCACACTGAAGGTCAAGACTGGGGAGTGACCACCTTGTATACTACCAAGGGGCTCGAAGGGAGTGTCAAGATGGACTGATGATTATTAAGGAGAAGTCAGGGGCAATCTAGGGAATGAAGGAACTAAGGACACATCTGGCTTTATTTAATAGCTACAAATCAATCTGGTTGGGAAGGAGTTTCAGCATGTCATAAACCAAGGGGACACTCAGGATGGAGGATGAAAGGTGAAAGGTAAGGCAGGATCTAACCTATCCTTTGGGCTCAGGTCCTGCTTAAAACTCACAGATGGCCAGTCGGTATTGGACGCAGTTCCTGTCATTCCATGTCCCATCTGAGTACATTTCTACACACTTCTCTTTGCCCCAACCCCTGGGCTCCCCTGGGTACCAGTTAGTATAGTTCACAGGGGCCCCATCCAGGTAGCGGAAGTCCCCAATGGTGTGGCCTTCCATCAGGCCCAGATACGTGTAAGTATTATGCTTCTTCACAATGCTGGCAATGGCTGCATTCTCCTCTGGACTCCTTGGAGCAGCAATGTCACCACCTGCTCTGACACAAGTCTCTTTAATGGCATTAAAGTCAACTGACTGCCCATTAGTGGCGAAGACCTTGTCTCCCACTGCCATCATGGACCCCTGCAAGATGAGGACTAAAAGCAAAGGAGTTTGAGTCAGGCCACCAACCTCTGTCTATACCTGTCATGTTCCCTCCAGTTCCTGCCACCAAGTTCTCGCCAATCTTTTCATTTCTGCTTCTTTCTCTGTGGGTGGGTGTGTCTTCCCTTCCACTTCCCATCCCAGTTTTCTAAATTCCTCTCTGCTCTCATCCATCCACCGTCCACCCATCCATCCATTTAACAGTTACTTACTGGCAGAAAAGGTGCAATGTCCTGGGATTCAACAGAAAGCAAATTAAGCAGAGAACATGAGGATTGAGAGAAAGTCCATGTCCATTTGTCACTTCTGGACTATTCAGAAGCATTAGAAAAGGAAGTATCCTTCTTTTCCCAAACCTGCATGTTTACACTCATTTATCAGCTTTAGAGGTTCTAGAGGCTGGTACCAAGGATGGGGGAACTTGTGAGAGACCTGTACCATGAGACCCCAAGGGATCCCCTTACCTCCTGTTGACTGCAGGATTTTATGTTTAAAGTCATGGAGAATGGTTTGGATTTGCTCATCCAGAGAAGCTGGAAGCCCTGTGGAGAGATGCCCACCCTAGATGAAGGCCACACCAATCAGGTCCCTGCTTTCTGCCAAGCAGCACCATCTGCAAGCCTGGAACTCTGCCCATCAATGTCTATGAACATTGCCCAGGCCCCAAGTTACAAGGTCCCATGAAGTGGGATGTTTCCACACTCCCCTATTTTCCAAAACAGACTTACACTGTTCAGTCCCTTCCTATTCTCCTTTTCTGCTCTGTCCCTGGAACTGCTTTGCCTGCCTACCTTTATGTATTACTGTGGAATCTGGAAAGGGCCCTCCCCCTCCCCCAAATCTGATGATCTCTTCTCTCTTCTGATGGACTTCGGGACTACTCAGAGATATGGGGCTCCCTCTGCATGTGGGACTCCTGATCACACCCTCTGCCTGAATCCCTAATTTACAAACCTGGGTACCTTTCAGAATGGCTCCCAGAGCCTCCAGCCCAGGAAGGGCCTCCCCTTTTTCCCAGTGCTGTCCCTCTTCCCCCTGTGACACCTTGTGTCTCTCCATCAACATCATAATGCATGGAACGCTTTCTACGCCTGTCAGTCCCTGAATGGTGACCACATTACTCCAATGCTTCTCATTTCTCTCCTCAATCACATATTCTCTTCCTTCAGTTAAGCAATATCCCTTGGGTTCCTCTACCATTTGTCCAATCACCCATGTGGCTGATTGCATGGCACTTGCTCATGTCACCACTGCCCATCCCCATCCCTCACCCCTACTCACCTGGTGGGCCCCTCTCACCGGGATCCCCCTTGTCTCCACGTTCTCCAGGGACACCAGGAATTCCACTCATACCATTACACCCGGGGAAACCTGGCATTCCTCCAGGGGGCCCCATGGGCCCTGCAGAGAGAAGGGGAAATGGATTTGTGGACCTCCATTGTCATCAGGCTGACTCACCTCCTGCTCCTTGGGCACTCTGAAGATAGACTTTCCAGGATGCCCTGGACTAAAAGCCCAAGGAGATTCCCATCACATCCAGGTCAGCTGGACTCTTGGACCCAGCCTAGACCCCTAGAGAGATGGAGCTCCTGAGAATGGGTCTCTGTCCCTTAGCTGAGCCTACGGTCTACCCCACCATACCTGGCGGTCCAGGTTCTCCTTTCACACCATCTCTCCCATCTCTACCGGGCAGGCCATGAGATCCAGGAGTCCCTGGGATGCCAGGGCTTCCAACACAATACTCTGTTCTGTTGCACATGATGCCAGAAACTGCCATCAAGATGAGGGTGAAAGCCAAAGAGCACAGCAACATGGTTCCCACTCCAGCTGTGTCTCCTGTAGAAGAGAAAGCCCACTGGTCTGTCTGAGGCATATTCTTCACTCCCCCCACCTTCTGCTTTGTCAGGACTCTAGAACATAGCAGAGCCTGAGGGCCAGGCAGGTCCAGACAGGAGCACTGGGAAGACCCAAACTATCCACACACAGAAATTCCCAGCATCATCAGGCATCTAAGACAGTCCCATGCCCCTCCCTCTGGTTTGCAAGGCTATGGTGCCTTGGGTAGGTAAGGAGCAAAGTAAAGAGCTCTGGCAGTCAGAGGCCTGGGTCCTCATGGAATTGCTTTTCTGTTAATGCCTCCCAATGTGACCCTGGGGAACTCACTGTACCTCTCTGACCTCAGCTGGATCAACTGTGTTCCAGAGACAATCCTGACCTGTTCTCAGGCTTTTAGGAGGAGGGACATAACCACTCACTTACTCCATCTGTCTCTCAACATTCTCAGTCATCCTCTTTTTGGGTTCTAAGAAATCATGGACGTGGGCCAGGGATTTAGCTCAGTGGTTTTGCCGCCTACTGCGCAAGCGCAAGGACCCAAGTTCGATCCCCGGTACAAAAGAAATAAAAAAGAAAGAAATCATGGACATAAGGATGAGCAGAGATAACCAGGGTTCCTCATGTGCCTCTGCTAAGTTAGCAGTGATGAGGAGACCCTCCTCCCCAGCCTGACCCTGCAGCCTGTGGCTCTTAGGCTGATTCTCACTGCCCAATTCGACTCATACACCCAGGAATGGAGATTAAGCTCACCCACACTCAGAGCCTCAGGGTGCTTGGATCTCTGTCTCCAGCTCAGAGTGGAGAGGTAGACAGCACCATTTATAGGGGTGGGGGCTGCTAACCTTCCTCTCTGTCCTTGAGAGGCCCATATCCCAAGGGCCTCTGCTCTAGGGAGGGCCAGGCGGAAGCAGCCATCCTGTTTACACAGCACATTTCCCTGCAGAGCACTCAGGCTGGAGGAGCACTGAGGACCCTTGAGGGGAGCACAGAGGACCCTTGAGGGGAGCACAGAACCTACTGAAGAAAACTCCAGTCTGTAAGAAGGGAAATCTCCCTCTGGGAAAGATGAAAGCCTCTACTAGGCACAGATGCTGATCCATTTAGTTCCTGGTTTGGTTCCACACAGTGCAGAGGCTGTGACTCAAGTTCAGAGTGGGCAGTTTGAGCTGGGGCACAGAATGTCCTCAGACTTTGCTCCCCGCCGAGCACCAGGCCTCCCAGCACCTGCCTCTGGAGCCTGCAGCTGAAGTGGTTGGCAGATGAGCCCAATGACAGGCAAATATACTGCATGTTTCAGTATCCCTCTGTCCTGGGAGATTCTGCTGTGCAGAGGCAGGAGAGAGCCTGAGAGGTTACAAGAGAGCAGCCGTTTCTGGTTTGGGCAATTGGAGATGTTGGTAATCCACAATGGTGCTTATTTTAAGTGGACAAATGATGTCTGAAACCCTACTTGGGGAGATCTCCTTTTGAAGCCACCTGAGAGGGAATGTCTAACTTCGGAGATAAAAAACCATGGGAAAACAAGACCAAAAAAAAAATCCCCATGCTTCCTGGTAAGTGGTTTAGAAAATCTTGAAATCCTTAGGGAGTATGGAGACTTTCGGGGAGTGGGAGCTCAGCTAATGGAACCTACTAATCACAAGAGAAATGCAAATCAAAACCAAAGTGAAATATCACCTCAACTCAGTAAGAACAGCTTTTATCAGAAAAAAAAAGATAAGTGCTGGGGAAGATATGGAGAAGAGAGGACACCTGTACATTACTCACAGGAGGGCAAATTAGTACAGCCCTTATGGAAAACAGTATGGAGTCTCCTAAAAAAACTAAAAATAGAACTACCATGTAATCCAGCAATCCTACTTCTGAGTACAGAGTCAAAGGAAATGAAATTAGTACATTCAAGAGACATTTGAGCTACCATGTTTATTGCAACACTATTCACAATAGCCAAGAAATGGAAGCAACCTAAATGTCCATCAACTGATGAATGAATAAAAAACAGGCAACATATATATACCAAGGAATACTACTCAGTCATAAGAAAGAATGCAACCCTGACACTTGTGACAACATATTAAATGAAATAAGCCAGGAACAGAAAGGTAAGCACAGTGTAATATCTCACTCAGATGAGGAATCTAAAAAAGCTGATCGTGAGGAAGTTGAGAGTAGAATGGTGGTTAGCAAAGTCAGGAGAGACGGGAGGGAGGTAAGATGGGTAAAGTTTGATCAGTGGGTACTAAGTTGTATTTAGGAAGAAGTTCTGCAATGCTCTTGAACAGTAGGGTGACTATGGACAGACAGCAACTGAGTACTATATCCCTCAATAAAAGCCAAGTTTCTGTCATGAAGAAGTGGTGAGTGTTTGAGGAGACTGATAAGCTTCACCTGAAATGTACACATGTATCAAACATCTCATTACCTTATTAATATGATCAATTCTTATGTTTTTACATATTGGTTAAAATAAATTTACTTTGTAAAAAGATACAGGAATCAATACAGTGTAGTATTGGTGAAAATGTAGAGGAGTAGATCACATAGAAGAAAGTCAAGAGCCTAGAAATACATAGGCCCTCAAATATAGTCAACTTATCTTCAACAAAGGAGCAAAGACAGCAAAATGGAGAACCCATGGCCGTTTTAACAAATGGGGCTTGAACAACTAGACATCCACATGCAAAACAATTTAGGTACAGACCTTACACCCTTCCCAAAAATCAACTGAAAATAAATAATAGAACTAAGTGTAAAATGAAAAACTGTAAAACTCCTAGAATAGTGATGGCAAACCTTTTAGAGCTTTCAATTATACAAACAGCCTGCTGCAGCACAATTGCCATAAGTTCACCACTACTGACCCAGAAGATAACACAGGAGAAGGTCTAGATGCCCTTGAATTTTGTGATAACTTTTTAGATGCAGCCCTAAGGCATAATTCATGAAAGAAAGAATTTATAAGTTGGACTTCACTAAAACTAAAACTTTTTGCTCTGCAAAAAAAAAAAACAACCCTCAAAGGGACCAACAATTTTACATGTTTACTCAAAAAAGAAACTCTCATTAACCCCCAAACCACTTGCATAAAGACTGAAGACTCTACTAAATAAAGGAAGGATTCTACCAGCTGGGACATGCATAGTTCCTCATACTTTGAATAGGGAAATAATTTTACTAAAAGTGAGTTTTGTACCTCAAGGAGATGGGGGAAAAATAATAAAGACTACAGGGTATGGGCTGCAGGGTGGACATACACATCAATGAGATAATGGAGACCCAGAAATAGACCCACACAAATATGTACAACTGATTTGTGACAAAGGGACAAAGTCAAATCTATGGAGGAAAGATATCCTTTTTAACATGCTAGTATCAGAGAGATTGGACTTTCATGGGTGTCATGGGGGAAAGAAGAGGAGAAGGAGAAGGACGAGGAAGAAGAGGAGGGGAGGGGGAGAAAAAGGAAGGGGGAGGGAAAGGAGATAGGGAGGAAGAAAGGAAGAAAAGGAGAAGGGAAGTGAAGGGAAGGAAAGGAAAGGAAAGGGGAGAGAGGGAAGGGAAGGGAAGGGAAGGGAAGGGAAGGGAAAGAGGTGGGGCCAGGAAGCAATTAGCAGCTACCAGGCTGGGGTTGTGCCTCATGCTGCTTCCCCAAGAGAGAAGACAGGATGGGCCACACCTGGACCACAGCCTGGGGAATCTAGAAAAACTGTCTCCTGTCTACATTGTGAGAAGAAAGAAATTTCAAATGACTGCAAGCTTCCCGGGCTAATCCCTGGGGTGGGGAAGCCTGACTCCCGGTCTGGAAGGGTCCTTCATCGCAGACACCTGCCTGAGCCCACCACCACTGGTGAACAGAGTGGTTAGCATCTCCCTGGCTGCTCTGGCCAGACCTCCAGGGTCACATCGCCAGGATTTAATTTAAAGGAAACCATCTACAGAATGGTCATCTCTTTGTGCTACAGTCAAAATTCCTAGAATTGCATGAAACAGTCAAACAGGGTGCAGACATTAGATCTCAAGAAGGCTTGACCAGTCCCCCCACCACATTTCCAAAATATGCCCCAATCTTGTGCCACCCAACCTCCCTGACCACACAGATCATTCATTCATTCACTTTCAACTCTAAGCAGTATTTCCCAAGTTCCAACCTACTGCCAGCCTGGAGACCACACGGGAAAAAGGGCAGCAGAATGTGACACAAGTAAGGACACAGGACAGCAGTGCTTAGGGGCAAGGCTTGGAGAAGACAGAGGTGCCACTTGTGTGGATAGGCCTCGGACATGAGCCTAGGCCTCATGGAGTCTCAGATTCCCATCGATAAAGTGCAGACACCAATAGGATCTACCTCACTGGGCTGGAGAGATGACAAATATACCACCTCTGGCAGAAGACCGGTGTGGGAAAACCTGATCCATGCTGGAAAGTCTCCCACATTTACAGAGTGAAGGCCTTGCTCCCTGCATGTGACAGCAAGTGTTCCCTGGCTTGTGAGCCCCATAGGAGTCCACATCTGCATCTGCATGATTTCTAAGTGCAAGGTCTTCCAAAACCAGGTCCTCCTGGGTTTTTGATGCTTTCCTGTGTAAGACGATGAGAGGACCTGCTGAGCGGATGCAGTTTTTATTCACTTGAGACAGGATAGGGAAAAAAATACAGATAGGCAGAAAGAAGACAAGGTTTACTCATGCCTTTTTCTTTTCCAGGAAATTCAGTCGAAAACAATTCCTAGGGGCCATAAACACACAATAAGCCTGTGAACTGGGCTGTGGACCCAGGCTTTTCTCCAATAAATTGTCCTTCAGCCAGCACATTGAGCTTCCTCTCACAGACTTCCAACCTCAAAGAAGTAGCAAATACTAGTGGGGAGCAGATCTCAACTTCAAACACCTATAAACAATTTATGCTCTAACCTCACTACCTGGCAGTCCATAGGAATCCACACCCTAGGTCGCCCATCTTGAAGACACCCCAAGAGCCCACACCATAATCCACCTCTCTTGAGGACACTTGCTCTTCTCTCTGAGTCTGTGCTTTTAAAATTCTGCTTAATAAACTTCTTTATGCTTCTCACTGATTCACCTTGAAAATTCTTTTTCTGAGATGGAGATCAGTGAACATACAATCTGCCCCACAGGTGGGATAAATTAAGGTCCCTGTCTCATCTCCAAGGAACCCTCTTAGACACGTTTATGTAAAGATTGAAAATATATATATAAATATTAAAAAGTGAATTTGTGCTTCATATATGGCCTGAGTCAGGAATTCAGCCCCTGCAAACCTAGCCCAGCCTCCTCCTCTGTGAGGGCCCACTCTAACTCCAAGCCACACGGGGATATTTGCCAGCAGCAGGCACTGCTCAAGCTCCTAGTAGGTACACTGGATCAGGGACCACACACTGCCCAAGGCCCCAACCAGGAGCCCCAGGGGCTGGCAGGGATTTTCAGAAAGTGTGGAGCCTGTGCAGTGACTGTGGCATGTGACCACAGCAGGGACATTGGTCCCTAGCCACGTCTGTTCCCACCATAAAGCCTTGTCTGGACAACCCAATAGCACTGCTCCTGGGGCTGTACCTGCTAGCCCGGCTCCACCTGCTCATGGCCAGGCAGACACAGTGGGACCAACAGGGAATCTGTAGAAAATCCTTGTCTGAGATCCATCCTAGTTCTCAGAGCAACAGGGGTGCAGAAGGAGGAGGAGAGGAGCCCTGGGCCAGGAGACCTGTGGAAGACAGGGCAACACAACACAGGGCCAGGAGGGCCTTCCCCAAGGGGCCATGGCACAACATTACCTTAGGAGAGCATTATGGATAAATACA